AACCTCCAGGAATCATCCATCATATTGTGTCAGCTGGATGGAAATATTTAACAAACACTGCAATTTATTTAAAGAAGAAACAAATAACAATGTAAAAGTAGGGTTCTTTGGCCACGATGAGAGTAAGATACAGCAGAACAGAGTTGGCAGATAATATATATTCACTACAAAAGGTCATTAAGAGTCAAACTATTGATGTAAAAACAAAAAGAGAAGTTCAGGAAAAAAAATTATTTGAAAAACATCAAATCAGTCAAGCTTGTAAATAATGAGGAACCTTCTATAAAATTTATCAAATTATATACAGCATATCTTTCAACTTACCACACCTTTCAATATTGAAGCACAATTTCTCTCAAACTAGGCTATCCCCCTTTTAGTTGACAAGACCAAATTGGCTGTGAGAGAAATTGTTAAGTACATAATGATTAGTAACTGACACACAAACCATGAGTAATTACTGTGGTCCCATTTCTAAACCCCTAATCATTGGTCAAGTTGTATTATTTCAACAAAATGCGCTCATCGGCACTATATCTCATCTATCAGTTTCTGTTGCCCATTATTCCGTGTCAATGATCAGACAATAGAGTTTGCAATGGAACTAAAACAAACAAGTCTGGTCTGAGACCATCTACCAATTTCTTTCTCCTGATCAACTACAATAAAGATGTGTAAATTAATGAAAATGTATTAAAGGAAGCTAATGACAGAAAACTGAACAATTTGATATGCATACGAGTGGTTTTGATGAGGACATCAACAAGAAGTTTTTAAGGTTTATCGGTGGAAGAGGTAAAAAGAGAAAGACAATCCAATTCCTTTTAGGACTGGATTAAAACTTTTGGAGCAGGATTTTATTATTAGTTTCCTAGTTTTTTTTTTTTTTTTTTTTTTTAAGTTTCCCGTTTCTAGATGGATTTGGTTAATTTCCTATTCTATTTTGGATTAGGATATCTTTCCTAGACTAAGTTTATTTTCCAAATTTCAATTCTTGGTGCGAGGCCAAAAACAAGTGTGAGACCCTTTATTGTTGTTTTAATCTAAGTTTTCTTTGTTTTCACTTCCGCTATACATTCCATATTCTGCTGGCCAACTCTGTCCGACATTAGGTTTGAGACCATGATTTTTCAGTAGTGAAAGGATTAGTGATTTGAATCAAATCTGAAAAATACAGTAAGTCAACAAGGGAACACAAACAAAATGGGAACTACTAAATTGCTATGAAATTTGGAAAAGTCAGTCACCTGCATTTGATCAAAATACGCATGCCTGTTCTGTTCCACATATTTCCAAGCACCAATATCTGCAAAGTACAACTGTTGTGATTGAAAGTCCAGAACAAGTTTAAACTTGTTTCCAACTTGGTTAGAAACTTAGAATGAAAATAGACAAGCATCTCGGTAAATTCCTACAAATGGGGATACTAGATCCATTGACACAGGGCTCTTATTTGTGCTCTCTTACATGATTGCTAGGGGTGAACATGAGAAACTGATGTTGGTATACAGAAACAACAAATTATCAAGTTCAATACCTTGGAAGAGAGATATGGTTGCAGGTGCTACTGCACTGGCCCTTGGATCAGGGGGGTCTTCTTTCTTGATGCTAAGTCCATTTGATACTGCAGGATTGCTATCAATGATGGCAACTTTCAAGTGCTTTGTCAATGGCATTTTTGCTAAAGCAGCACAACAAGAAGACAATAGATTGAAAGTTTTGGTGTGTCAGCCAGAATGTGCTACATAACAAACTAATTCAACAAAAACTTCTGTTACTAAAATTTTTATTACTTTATTAGTTAAACTACTTGGATTTAGCTCGAGAAACAAAAAGCACAACATAGCAAACTAATTTCACAAATTTTCTTCCAATCTCTTCTGACCTGAACCAAAGCTACTAAACTGATTTGAATGATAATGTTCTAGAGTACACGCTACGGTGCTCAACCTAATAACTTTTTGTTCACAATTCACAAAGTCACTCATGTAAAAGTTACTAGTCTATCTGCTGTAAATGCAACAATCTACATTACATGAATCATGCTAAACCTAAGAAACACAAGTTAAATAAGTCAATGCAAACGATAACTACTAAGAACTAGCGAACTTTAATCTAAAACCACAAAAGCGGGAATAATGTCAGGTGAAGGAACTAATAAGGTCTGGGACATAATGTCTACTGGTTAATCTACACAATGATGGTAACTAGAGTCTAAAACAAACACCACTTACCCAAGGAACAAGCAAGGGCCATGCCAACCATCCCTCCTCCAATAATAGCAATGTCGTAGGGATCACATTTATTCGAAAAATTTGGCCTCTCCACATGATCCTGTGGAGGATTTGAAAAGGAACCATCAAATCCAATAATGGAAAAACATTACTTTTCTTGCAAGTTACTCCACATTACTGGGTAAATACCAAATATATTGAGTGACCAAAAACCACTTATTTCGGGTTCCATAAATTTCCAGAAAAAAAGAAAACCCATTTATTAAAATGTGAATAACATGTAATGGGTGAAGATTCAAGAGCTTTACATTGCTGGGTTGGGCACCATTGGAACTGGAAACTTTTGCGACTGCGTCTGTACACAAAGTCCTTTGTGAAAGCTTCAATCTTTTGATACTTTCAGCAAGAGTTCTGATGATGATCAATCTGTGTCATTTGAAATAATCACAATTAGACTAAATTTGAACCTTAACCTGCACAGCCGAATCGCAAATTAGCAAAAACGGAAGGGATAAAGCGTGAAAATGTGGCAAATTTGGGAGCGAAGGGATGCTAGGGCATATAATGATTGGAACGGTGTATGTAGACATGGACGACCAAGAATATGAGGAAGATGACAATGCCGGAGAAGAGAAGTATAATTAATCTCTATTTTTTTGGGTTTTTATGAGAAAACCTCTTTTTTTTATATATTAACTTTTTGTTAAAATAATCATAAACTTAAAAGAGTTACTATAAGTCTATATAAATTCTAAGTTTTGATTATTTTTCTAAATTTTCCAAAACGATTCTGGTCAAAAACAAAGACGGCATGTCGCAGAAAATGTCCATTGAAAACCAAGGACACTAGACCTAGCATTCGTGTCGTGTTTTTCGTGTTCGTGTCGTTTTCATGTCATACCCGATATCTTAACGGGTCATGTCGTGTAACATCCGTTAAAATAAAAGGGTAAAATAACCCGACCCGAAATCGACCCGATAATATTAACAGGTAATATGACCCGACCCGTTACCCATTAAGGAAAATATATTTTAAACCAATAAATAATCAAATGAAAACATATTACTAAATAAGTATATACATACCATATTGTCACATCCAAAACATAAAACACATTTTTCTTTTAAGTATATTTTCACTTACCTAAAGTCTTTAATAGTTTTTAATTAATGTAGAAGTGTAAAAAAATATAGAAAAAAATATATAAACGCTCGTAATGACGAGGTTTACAACTTTCATGAAGAGCTTAACTTCAAAATTTGCCACTATAATCATATAAATCATAGATCAAAATTTAACCGTTGATTGTTGTTTACATTTACGCTTCATTGTTCTCATCAAATTTTGTTTTTTTCATATTTTCTTTTTTGAAAACTTGATCTATTAGAGGATGCAGGAAAATGAACGGTTTGGATCGTTGATATTATATTCAGAGTTTTACAGTTAGTGAAAATATTGCTTGATATTTATAAAGTTTCTACAAACTATATGACATCGACTCATATTTAAGTTAACCGTAAATATCGAAACGTGATATCAAAGATTTGAATCGTTCATCTTCTTACATCCACCATATGATCATGTTTTCAAAAAAGAAAATTTAAAAAATGGAATTCAGTAAGAAGAATAAATCGTAAATGACAATCGACGATTAAATATAAATTTAAGGTTTATGAATTATAGTGTTGGATTTCCAAGCTGACCCCTTCATGAAAGTTGTAAAGTTTGTTACTATGAGTGATTGTATATTTTGTTTTACATTTTTTACACTTCTACAATAATTATTATTAATTTTCCCTCAAATAAAAAACATTATTCATGAAGGTTTGGAGGATTTTAAAAATCTAAACGATAATGTAAGTGTAGTCATTATCTACTCGTTGAGGAATAATGATGAATCACGAGTGTTTATATATTCTTTCACATTTTTCATACTTGTATGTATGTCTTCTTAGTTCTTGACTATACAAATACTATATTAGTTTATTTTAATTTTGGACAACAACATGTTAAGTAAAATTTATCCTAGTAATGATAATAAGAAACGCTCATAATAAAAATAAATAATGACCAAAACTTTTTTTAAACTTATATAGAATAATAATACAAAACTATATATTTAATATAGAATATATTGTATATATTAATATGGTTATTGTATTTTATAATAAATCTTTTAGTAATTAAACTTTAAAATTATCAATATAAATTTTTCTTAACGGGTCGAAACGGGTTACCCACGTGTTACCCGTTAAGAACCCATTATTAACGGGTTCTTAACGGGTCACCCGATAATGACCCGATAAGTTATCGTGTTGACCCGAAACCAGTTATTTTCATATCGTTTTCTTGTCGTGTCACTGTGTCGTGTCAGAAACTGCCGGGTCTAAAGGACATGACGAGTCGCAAAAATTGGGGCATTTGGAATTTGGAGCTGGACTTTCAAATTATTTTTTGGTGAGAGTATTTCGACTTCAAATTAGACTAGGGTAATGATATGTTTTCCTAAGGGGGGGGTAAAATTCCCGAAAATCCCGAACCGAACCGAAAAAATCCTTATCTCAAACCAAAAATTTCTCAAACCGAAATTTTGGTACGAAATTTGGAATTGGCTTCTCGATATTTTGGGAATCCCATACCAAACTGAAAATATATATTATTAATTATATATATATATATATATATATATTAGGGAATTGTTATTAGCATTTCAAAAATCTCATTTGACATTTCAAACTTTCTATAATTAGAAAGAAAAATACACTTGTGAGGAGTGTAGAATGGGATTTTTAGAGTGCTAATAACAGTTCCCTATATATTATTCTTTTATAATTGATGCTAGTAGTTTCTAATTCATGCTCTACAACCTGGAATGCCCTACACCTTGCATATTTTTCATGTTTTGTTTGATATTCATTTGGATTTTATTATTGCTGCTGTCATGGTTGATGATTTTAGAATGCTTGATTCTTTTGTCTATCAACAAATTGCCAAAAGGGTTTAATTAATTTGAATTTTGACTCTGATAAAAACATTCAAGCATGCTAGTGTTCGATTAAATGGTAGTGTGAATGAAATGACATTCCTAGTTCATGAATGTGTTCTTGAATTATTTGAAGAATAATTCATAATTTCATATTTTAATTTGGGATTCCCGATTTGTCCCAAAATCCTGAAGTTTGGGATTCCCGAAAATTTGGTTTGGGATTGGTCTTCAAATTCCCGTCCCGAAAAATTTCAGTTTGGAATTCGGGATACTAGTTTTGGTTCGGTATCCCATACCGAACCATCCCTATGTTTTCCATATGGAAAATTGGAGGAAACTTATTTTTATTTGTTTGGTTTTTTTCTTTTTAATTTTTAGTGAAACATTAAGATATCAATTTGCAGGTTTTGCGAATTACTTTCCATATCAAGAAATTGATCGCTGTCCTACTAAACCAGTGAAATCCTTGAATTGGATAATAATTTAAGTTGTTATTTATAAATTGTGTCACAACAATAATATAACTGCTCTCGTATTTAAGAGAAACTGAGAAGATGAGATAAGTGGTTAAATTAATTTGTGGTAGGAAATTGCCAAAGTGCTAATACGTGACTTGATATTTTTGTTCTGATTTCTTAGTTGATGTTCATATAATTCTTGGGTCCCTAAGGCTCCTACTCTTCCTACTTGTAAATGTCACTTGGATATGTCTATACAACTCGTATATCTAATGATATTATCATCTGTTGTGTATCACTCTGATGCGGTCTTTTGCGTACAGATTTGGTGAAACTGGTTGATGATATCGCTGCAGTTTTGCTCTTGGTAATTTAATGTTTCGACTCTTCAACCAGAATAACGGAACTACAAGGCTTACTTATAAGCATCCCTTTTTTCTTTTTGTGGTGGCATAACCATATCAAAGCTAGAAATTCTGCTCCAGAACTAATGGATGATACACTTCCCTTCCTTCGGCCAAGAGAGAGTACAAGTTAATTGTATTTGGTCAATGATTTCGTCGGAAATGAATTGTTCCCCAATTTTCCCAACGATGAGCATTTTGAACTGAGATTGGCTAATATGTCAATTTGTTGCCCAATTTCCGACGAATTTGAAAGATGATACTGTCGTTTACCAATTAACACTGACCAACTTAACTCGTTGCAACATGTAAACGTCAAGTAGAAGATAAGATAATGAAAGTGTCAAATTTGATGTCCTAAAGATCAAATAAACTGGTACATTCACCTCTAAGTTTGCATAAAGCCAGGGTACATTGGTTCCACTATTTTGTACATACATTCCCCCTTGATGATTTATCTTAATAAGACAATGTTTTGCTTCATATGCAGCACTTGCTGCTGCATCTTCACTCCTTCGAGTCATCGGAGGAGCGCTAGCTGGTCACGCTGTTGCAACTTGGTAATTTTTCTGTTATTGCAAATTTATTTATTGACAAGACGATATTGGCCGTTTTGGAGTTGTGTCGTTTGGTTCGACAAATTATCAATTGCTTGAAACAGGCGTAGGACATGAAACTTCACATAAAAGTAGAAAATATGATCAAGAATGTTCTGAATTGGCCCAGAATTATCCTCGACCTATTCTGATTACACTTCTTTTTCAAAACTTCTTGTCGGTTCTTTTGACTTCGCGTATTCTCTTCTTTAGTAGAAAATAAATTGTGGCTTGAACGGTTGGTTTGAACAATGTGGAATGCAGCCAGTGGAATTCCTTTTGAAAACAATCAATAGACATAGAATATAAGCATCAAAATTCTGTGGCAACCGAAAACGAGTCAACAGCATCCTTCTTCTCTGCAGGCTTTGTAATAAAGGTTCTTAGTTGGACTAGCACATTCATTCACCAGATCAGTTTTATGCCCTTGACACTTTCCCAGGTTGAATCGCTAGCACTCGGCCTAGACGGGTTTGAAAGGAATTTTCTTTTATCTCACCCGATCGAACCCCACTGCTAAAAATATATTTTCTACTGCTCTTGGCTATGACTTGCACTCTAAGTAATTTCTTTCATGGATGAATTATGTATAAGCACACAGTAGACGAACGGATGACAGTCGTTTTCAATTTCCTTCTGCAGGCCATTGCGTACGTGGGAGGTGTTAGGCCATTGCGTGCGTGGGAGGTGTTCTTTCTCTAGTGTTTGCTGCTGTAACACTGGTTAAGATTGTAAGTTAAAGGGAATAAGATACCCATATCCTTTTTATCTGATCAAAACTCAGAAGCACATTGTTGGTTGTAATTATTGACATTCTGTCCCTACTTAATCAGTTTATTAGTACAAACTTTGATTCTTTGAGTGAAACATCTTGTGCTTCTGGGGGTTATGAATGGGTGAGGAGTGAAATTCTCCTTTCTTTTTTTCAAAACGACTGATACTGAAAGAAGAGAGATTTGAACGTGAGACCTCAGGGCAGCTGTAAACCTGTTAACTGCTTGAGTTATAAGCCAGTTTCTAGCGTGCGTGACAATTGGAGAGAGAATTCACACAATTTTTTAGCTTCTCATGCACCTCTCTTGATTTCTAGCCATTGAATTGAATGAATCAAACAAAAACAATGAACTTAAACAAACAGTAGTATGTCAACACCTAAAAAAAGAGTGTACCGTTTTCTGATGGTGCAAGTGTGAATAAAAGAAGTAGCAAAAATGCAAGGAACGTGGCATGCCGTAACCCATCAATAGAAGCTTTTGAGGGAGAATCAAAATTCCAAAGTCATGAAAAAGGATGATTGTGGAGGCAGACAAACCCCACTCTCTCATCTCTTCTCTTTACTTTTTACGTGAGCCTTTCTTTCCACATTGGCTCCGTACGCTGCTCTGCTGGGGCTCTCATATCTCTCTCAGAATTCAAATGCTCCTCCACTTTCTTCCTTTTCACTACCCTTTTAAATAACATAATTGTGTCCCTTTTTCTATTGCTGTGATTTCCATCTTTCTAAAATTCTCTATTATTTTATTGAGTAATGTTTCGTTGATGTTACTAATCATCTTAAATAATAACTAACATTTGAACTAAGACATATTAATATTGTTGTCTACAAACAAGATAGGATCATAATATTACATGACGATGTTCTTAGTATACATAAAAATTTCTCTTATTTTTTTAGGAGTGTTGCCAGTTTATTCAACATTTTTATGTCCGTCTAAAAGAGCCTAGTTTTCTAAATTTGGTCTAAATAATCTTTTTTTCAATTACCCCATTTTTGTTCATTATTACTTCAAATAACAACAATCAAAATTTGCCTGAATAATCTTTTTTCTCAGAGGTATTGTGTATCAATAATCAAATCCAAATCAACTTCGTTTTGGACATAAGCACGATGCTAACATATCTTAACTTGTTAGTCAATTTAACAAGTTTTGATTCTCGTATATGATTCTAATTGAACTCTTGATGTTTCTACTATGCCGTTCTAATCTTTTTATTATATCAAAATCAATCGAACTTTTAACCTAATCTAATCGTAACTCAGTTTCCCATACTTCCTCGCGAGCTAATTAAAGGGCATTTGGTTATTTATCATGGTATAAATTAATGAGGGCGGTTCTGTGTTCTTCACCTTTACTGTAAAGTATAAATGATGGAATTTTTTCAAGCTGCAAGATATCGTGGGACCACTTCTTATGCATATGCTGTGGTAGGGTCAATGAACTTTACGAAATTGAGACGCAGACAACCATGCAAAGCAAATGCAGTGGCAGCGACAACAACAACGATAATACAAATGTAGTGAAGTCAAACTTAATAGATTGTTTAGTTGGATTTTTTTTTTAACAAACGATATTATCCATACTAAGAAGAAGAGGTGAACTTAGCATCACAATAAGTTAACAATAATGTGGTTCAAATTTACTTTTGACAAGATTCGCATTTGAGTTTTTGTTAGAGAAAATGTATTATGGTGGATTTTGAGTAAAAAAAAAATGAATCTTATATTTTCAACGAAAATAATTTTTCCAGATGATACTTTATCGCAGTGGCAGAAAGTAATCATGTTTATGCATGCTAACGTTATTGCTCTACTAAAAATAAATAAAAACAAGTTTCTTCTCTTACTAAGGTTAAAATCATCTTTTCATTAACTTCTCCTTAAACCATAAATATTGATCGACTCAATCTTAATATTGAAACTTTTTTATGACCTAAAACAAAATACCCCATAAATAAATCATCATGGTGGCACTTCTATGATGAGTTACTCATCGCATATAAATATACAAAGTTTGTACATACATAAAAATAACTAATAAATCACGAAAATAAAACATTACATGCAAATATCAAATAGTAATTTGTCTGTAACAACGATAATTGCACATAAAAAGCCGAGTGCCAAATGTATTTTCTTTGCAAATCTGATGCTCCGCATTTGAGTAAAGTCGTATACGTGTTTAGTTGGAGGTTGTTTTCAAGTGTTGACATCGTTGATATTCCACTTTCATGGTTTTCAAAGTCAGAATTTTTTAGGGCTTTCGTTTGTTTGGGGAATGTTGGTGGAGACGGAAGAGGTGGAGGTGTTTCATAAGATTTCCAAGGAAGAATATGCTCTATCATATTCGGCTCCTCCGGTGGTGGTGCAGGTGTGACGTTTCATGCACGTGCCATTAATCACGTGGAAGGTTAGACCAATTACCAAACAACATAAACAAGAGTCAGATTCTAATAAAAAAATATTTTATTTGATTTTTGGATTTTATATACTCCGAATTTCCGACTTAGCATTTTTTTTAAAGAGTTTATATCAAGATAATGGACCAAAAAGCCTTTCAAAATCCATGCATATCTTAAAAAAGAAATCATCATAGGAGTTCAAGAAGAATATGATCAACATCGTAATCAGCAAAGAAAATTTATTCAATATTACGCTAATTTATTTTTTTAATCAAAAGTATAAAGCTAATCTAGGTACTAAGTATATGCAAAGTCGAAATGATTCATGAATAAGATGTTTATATTATGGTGCAAAAGGTGCTTTAGAAGGCTACGTTCTTATTACATGTCCGACCTATAATTCCACAAATAGATTTTAGGTAGGTGAAGGAACATTTTGCACTCCCTACCACGGGCCACCCCAAAAACGGACGCAATCCGACGGTGCAAAACTCAGATGTTGATTTTACGTGTCGAGATCGTGTGGGACACAAGCATAAGATAAGGGAATAAATTTTTGATCTTTTTGGTTGGTTTGAAAAAATTAATAAAATTTTGACTTTTTTGGCAAAAGAAGCAGAAATATGGTGCGTTTGATCTTTTGTCCCAGCAGCCAACCGGCCCAGCACCACTTCTTTTTAGGAAGCATTTTTCTATCTTCGGAAATATCAAAATTTCTTCTAAATTAAAAACAATTCAGATTTGTAAAGAGAAATTTTATTTAAATCCAACTATCTTATCTTCAAACTCAACTTAAATATTTTTGTCATTAAATTCTCCATTTTGCCCCGGCGTTATTTAGAAAGTAAAAATAAATTAAAAGAACATGAACCCACATATCTGCCCACCACTTTTCAGTGTCTTCTTCACTGACGTCGGCGTCTCTTAACCACCTCCTCTTTTGTATTATCTCCCTCCTCATTTGTCCTTCTCCCTCCTCTATTTCTCATGCTCTTCAACCATAACATCGGCATCGGAGGCCTACAAGCATAGTCGAAGCTACGTGAGGGCGAGGAGTGGTGGCCACCCCTCTCTTAACCTGAAAAACATACCTAGGATTGCTTTGATTAAAGCTTGCATAGGTGGTGTGTCATGGTAGTCCTTAGCTGAGAAGGAGCTCATTCCTGCAACTTCCATTTAAGGGCATTTAGCATACGTCGTCGAGTTTGTACAAATGGAGACCAAAAGCCGTATGTCGACGAAGGTAGTGCTTCTGCTGCCGTTCAACTACTTGAAGCTACGTTTGCCACAACTCATTCAAACAGTCGGAGACGTGAAGATCAAGAGCAAAAAGCCCAAGCACAGTGCTTGATAATGCAGAGGAGAAGCAGATTGAGAAAACCCAGGTGTAGAACCTCCTCTCTAGTTACAAGTTTCCGAGTGGTATAGAGTAGGCAATGCTGAGAAGCACAAATGTCTATGGCCGAGAAGGGATGGCGGAGTCGTCGACGAGGAAGGCGTTGAGCCGAAGAGGGATCATTTATCTTGTATGGATAGTTCGAAGTCAAAACTTGTGGAAACTGAATGGTGTGCCACATAAGGCGATTGTGATGCTAAAAGAATTTGAAATGAAGTTGCCATGGAGAATTGCCGGTGAATCTTCCGTGGGGTTTGAGGTGTGTTGATGCACAAAACCGGAGGGGTCTTGGAAGAACGTAAATCCGACCGTGAATCTGCAAGAAAGTAAATAACACAAGATGTATCGTGGTTCACTCCAAGGTTTGGGCTACGTCCACACTGATATAGTATTTCTCTGAGAGGGAGAGAAAGAGCCTCTGTAATGAGAGTGAGGCTATTATCTGAATATGAGAGACTTAAAGGTTGTGAGGGTGAGGAGGCCCTTTTATAGAATAAGGGCTCCTTACTTATTACATATTTGCCCCTCCATTTATTACATAATTACACTTGAGTCCCCAGAGTATTTATACGAGGTCTAAATACGGAGGCCCTAAGTATGGTATAAACAGTAGTCCCCCAAGTCTTCAGTCAAGAGAGTCTTTTGGCTGGAGACTTAAAATTCAGTCCATGTGTGGGCCCAAGTAACTAGATGTCATCTAGAATCGAAACTCGATATAAGGTGGTGCCCAATCTGAAATGATGCTCAACTAGAAGTAGCACATGTTGCGAGGCTGCTCTGCTTGTGGCTTATGTTGCCTTGGTTGGCTCGGCTTATGGCGTTGAAGGTGAAGGAGTCTCTTTTATAGAATAAGGGTTCGCTCCTCAATACAAAAAAGATGGACTAGAGTTGGTGTTTGCAGCAAGGCAGTTGCTCAGCAGGCGGCGATGCTCTCTAATAATGGTGGGGAAGTCCCTTTTATAGAATAAGGGCTCGCTCCTCAATACATAAGTGATGGGTTAGGAGTGATGCTCGCGGCGAGGCGATTGCTCAGCTGGCGACGATGCTCTCTAATGAAGGTGAGGGAGTCCCTTTTATAAAATAAGGGCTCGCTCCTTAGTACATGAATAATGGGTTAGGAGTGATGCTCGTGGCGAGGCGGTTGCTCAACTGACGGCGACGCTCTCTAATGAAGGTGAGGGAGTCCATTTTATAAAATAAGGGCTCGCTCATCAGTACATAAATAATGGGCTAAGTCCCCCAAGTATTTTTCATGAGGCCCAATATATGGTACATAATGTAGTATTCCAAG